TCTTGCAGTTTTAGATGCATAGACTTACACACAAGTATTTCATGCAGATTTTTTTTTTAAGCCATTGTTCTGTTCTTCTCCTTCCATCCAATGGACTGGCAATGGGCACAGGCCTGTCAAACTTGACTTGCTGAAAAATTCTGGGGTTTCAGTGCTGTCAGGCTGCTGAGAAACGAGTTGAACCATGGCACATGTCATGTTCTTACCCACAAATCCAGGTACCCTGAGTCTGCATGTAGCAGTGGCTTGAGTCTGAACTGATGTCGTAGGAGATAGAATTGGAACTGAAAAAGCCTTTCAATATAAAGAGGAGCTGACAGACACAAGAGTCTCTCCTGTATTTATTAATGCATACCTATGTAATGCAAATAATCAGGTTATAACTGTACAGGTAAGGTCACAGAACTGTGAATCCATGGAATTGCTCTGGTTTCATATCCTTCTTTGTCCACGAGGTCAAGTGTTCTAGGAAATCCTAAAAAAAAAAAAAAAGTGATGTAGTGCAAAAAGCACTTTTTATAAAGGAAACTATATCAGAGGAAAGTGCTGTTGTTAAATCAAAAAAGTGTAATCCACCTAAAGTACTGGGTGCTAAAAACTTTTAAAATTTATCTTGTGCAGCAAAAAGAGATGGTGCACCTTATGTCACCTGTCACTTGTTACAGCAGGTAACTGCTGCTCTAGCTTTTTAAATCTAGAAGCATCTTCTAACCAGTAAAATCACATGAGAAAATAGTTGACAGGAACATGACATTCGTTGTGCTAGAAGGCTGACTGACGCTTAGTTTGTCTGACTGGTATCCCCATAAATTTGTATTTCCGTGAATTATTCCATATACAAGAGCATAACCATGCAGAGTTAGGTCCTTAGAGCAGATTCTGTAGTCTGATCTGCTTCCAAATGTCTCTGAACTAACCCCTGGGACACTCTCGTTGGGTAGGGGAATTTGTGGGGACCTTCCTGATCTTTCAGTGACAGAGATGTTTCACACCTGCACAGGTTCTGCTGTTACAGATCTTTATTGTTCAAATAAACATTAATTCAGCACTCACACACCAGAACATAACTCAAGGAGTAACTTCTGCCCTGTCCAGAGCATATATTATAAATTTATGACATCTCACAACTCACACTGCATCTTCCTTTTTCAAATCCTGATGTGACCAAGGTAGCTTTACCCGTGGCAAACTCATTTTTGTCTCTTTCCTCTCTCCTTTTCCTCTTTTAGACCTTGTCTTTTTTAATGAGTGCATTGGCAGAAGAAAAAAAATGAACCTGGAAACTGTGAAAACATGTGCCCTGCTAAAGCAACAAGTCCTGCAAGATCCTTTCCACGGGCCAGCTCTGTACCTTACTGGCGTAGCGTGGTAGCTGTAACTTCCCCAAATAGTGCCTGTTGGAGCATCAGAGCCCAGCAGGAGCCCATGTTCAGCAACTTCACAGGCTACAAGCAAATAACATGAGAACTTGGTTGCATATTTAGGGACACTTTTGGGAAGGGAAGAAGGTAGCAAAGGAAGAGGAAGAGGAAAGTTGGGAATTTCCTTATCAGAATTTTCCAAGATGCTCTAGTGATTTGAGAGAGCAGTTGTACTAAAAAAAAACAATAAAAAATAAAGTTCAATCACTTAGGTAGTTTGGAAAGTTCGTTGTTATTTGCTGGAGAGAAGGAAGTTAGTTTTTCTAAAATAACTTCTGAGATATGGTAACTGCCAGCACAATTATACTTTGGCAGAATCTGTGTGAACGACTGCTCTTATTTGGTCCCAGGTTGCAGCTGTACGGTTTGTAAGAGCTAATTCCTGCTACATCTGACTGCAAATGCCAGTTTTTCCAGTCAAAGGTAGCATTCTACCACAGTTATACCCTTGTTCTACATCTTATGAGTAGGCACTGGTAAGATACTGATGTATCAAGCTGGTGTTGTATGTCAGAGGTTTTACTGACTGTTAAGCAGGAGACTTTGCTGCCATTTGAGCTGATTACCATTGGAGTAAAATATTTAAAGCCGTGCCAGGATTTGTTTCTGTTTTGATCCAAATTTGACTACTTTCTTATCTTGAAGCATCTGCTTAAATCTTATTGAAGTCAAAGTGTATGGGTAAGCATTCTCTCAGGCCAGGAAGAGACCAATGAATGTAGATCTCAGAGATTACTTACCATGGAAAAAATGCTGTATGTCCGGTTGTAATGTCGTTACCTAGTCGGATTGTTTTATTCATCCAGTTTTAAAAGTACTTTTGGAATACACTAAACTTTCTGTTCTCCAAACTCCAATACTGATACTAGTTTACAAATGTTACGTGATGATTTCTCATCTTCAGTCCCTGCCACTAATGAGTTATTAAAAACCAAACCAAACAAAAAAAAAAAACAAAACCAAAACCAAAAATTATATGCTAAAAGAGGCAACACAAAGCAATCTCACCAACCCAAAATCAAAATTGTTCTTGTACAACTCATGTAACCTAATGCTGCATGAAGTGGTTAAAGAAGCGGTGTCTCCCTAATTGTTTTGAGACATTATACAAAGGATCCCGAGGCTCCACCACTTCTCCTCGAAGAGAGTTCTTTGTCTCCCAGTCTTGTTGGGATCCGCCCCCCCCCAAGTATTCAATTGTCGTTTATTTTCTCAAGCCCACTTCAGGCACCCAACGGTCTATCCCCCTGTAAATGCTCTCTCAAGCGCCCAGCAGGAGCAGCAGCAGCAGCAGGAGGAGGAGGTGCCCTCCTTAAAGGCCAGGCAGACGCTCCTGCAGAGAATCCATGGGCCCTTTTCGCCCTTCCCGTTGCTAGCAGCGCCGCACATCCATAACTGAAAGCCCCCCCGAGAGCAGCGGACCCTCGGCCGCCAGAGCGGGGCGAGGGGGCGGCGCGGGGGAAGCCGCGGGGTCTCTCCGCCCGCCCTCCGCGCTCTGCCACGAGGTGTCACCACAGGAACTCGCATGGCAACGGCGCGAGCGGAAAAGGAGGGCAATCAATCCCCGCCCCCTCCCCCTCCAAAAAAAAAAAAAAAAAAAAAAAAAAAAAAGAATTTCCAATCGGAGGCAAACCATCACCTCCGCGTCTGAAACATTTTTCCTCTTTTCTGAGTCTCCGCTAGATGACAGCAGAAAAGCCAGACTGAAAGAGCCAGTAATGGGCTTGCGGAGAAAACGGTTTTATCTGTACTGCTAAACCCTCAGGGGGCAATGCAGTTAAGAAACTCGCATTAGTGGCTGGTTTCCTGGAAATTACAGAGCCTTTGCTTTTAGGCTTCCCGGCTGTAGGCCTCAATAACCTACAAAAAATACATCTCTGCATTGTATGCAATGCACTTAAAGCAAATGTATTTGGGCTGGAAAAAACAGTGAAGTATTGTTGTTTTAATGTGAATAATTACTTCACAATGTCAGCTATTAGTCTCGTAAAATGCTCCCAAGTTCTTGCTTTCATAAGCTGGATGGACCTGATCTTTCAGCCAAGAACACCCTTCTACACTGGAACTGCAGCAAGCCAGGAGACTGGAGTTCCCCTGTACATTTACAGCAATGTTCAATTTTGTGATAGGGATGCTGATTTTATGCCAATGCATTAAAATGCTGCTACACTTTTGCTGCTGGCTGCTCACTGGATTAAAGCAGTAAACTGTTTCAGCTTGGGTCTTGGAACCAAGCACATTACAAGCTAGACTAGGGCCCAAATAGTTACCGCACAAACTAGATTTGAACATGGACCAGGTGAGGAAGGAAGGAATTAAACACACTTGTCTTACTGTCACACTGTACTTGAGGATTAATCCATCTTGATCTGAGCTAAAGCACTGTAAGTAGGGCATGTGCTAGAATTCAGAGGGGGCAATACACACCCTCTACCTTGGTCCTATTCCTGACCTATTTGAAAGCATTTTTTATGTGACGAGAGATAGACCTGGTAGGACACTAATTTTTCAGCTTTTGTGCATCTGTGAGATTCTCTTGTGTGAGTGAGGGAGATCCTCATCTCAAGAGTATTCATAGTCCTTTAGCCTAATAGAGGCACATAAAGGGTTTGCAGCACTCAGTATTTTTCAGAAAGGAAAGAAAGAATTTCAGTTCTTCTTTCTCTGTTCTCTCACTTTTTATTTTGTCATTTTATCTCATGTTTCCATTCTCCTGAATTATTCTGAGGTATATGAACTTGATTGCCTGAGTGCTCTTAACATGTAATTTTAGTCCTTTCGTTTACAAAGACCCTTTTTCACAGCATGGTTATATAACTTTAGCCTTTTAAAAGTGTTTTCTAATTCCAGTTTACACTCTAGCACTTCATGAATTTTGCTCCAGTTTTTGACATGTCATTAAAAAAATACTGACATTCCATCTTTTAGGGTGACAGAGATGCTACATGTTCAAAGAACATGACACAGGGATGAAGAAACCCTGTCTCAGGTCTCAAGGAATTCTTTTGATAGAAACTCAGTGGTCTATTTTTTGGTTTTGTTCTCTGAAAAAGTGTAAGAAAACATTTATGCATTAGGCTAGCTTTTTACTAAGTGCTGCATCATTGCAGCAATGTATTCAGTCGCTAAGTAATGTGTAAATTTTTGTTTCAGAATTCTTTGGGTTATCTGGAATGCCTCTTTAGCATACTTTCCTATATTCCAATAATAGCTATCATAAAAAGATGAACAGGATGGTAGGTGTTTATTAGAACGAGTAGTCAACTGGTTGTCTGTACATACTATATGTACCATACCACAAATACTGACCAAAATCACTAGTTCAAAGAAGAAAGCACTAAGAAAGGTAGCATATTTATACTTTTCTTTTTTAATTATACCGATAAGGAGGCACTCTGCCATGCTCAGAGTATTTGTCTCTTTTCAGGACCAATTCCTTTTGCTGCACAGGAACATTGTAAAATAGTGATGTTAAATAAACAGCATTTGTGATAAAAATAAATGGAATTCAAATAAAACAAGGGAGGGGAACAGCTTAATAAAAGTGTTTATTGAAAAAAATCCCATCATTCGGCTGTACTAAGTAAGTAAAACACTGAGCGTGACTATGGTAATCAGGATGCAAACAGCTAGTACCACGAGCAGGATGACTCGGCAACATTTGGAATTTTTTTTCTCTCTCTCTTTCTTTTTTAACAAAGTATCATACCCAGGAGTATAAATATCCCCCATCCAGAACTGCAGATCATTAGGATTTTCCTAAAAGAAAAATTAGAAAATGAACTCAGTTTCTCTCTCTTGCACACAAAGTCATTAGAATATAGCCAGAAATATTTTGGCTATCATCAGATAGTGATTAATGAATTTAAGGCATCACAACACAAATGCAAGTAACTTTCACATCAACATAGGTTGCATTACTTGCTAGATACTGCAAATGTTCCACTGGGGAAAACTAAAACCATGCTTTTCAGCCAGTAACCAAATGTAGGACACCAGCCACTGAAATGTGATTAAAAATCCCAGAAGAAACCATGTTGTCTTCTCAAGAAGAGACGTTGATTTATAAACAGATCTGAGTCACTTTCCAAAAAAGGGAACAGCAGAAGAAAAACTCACAAAAGTAACTCTAGAAGTGATTTGTGCCAACCCACAGGCAGGTAGGTTCCTGCATAATGTGGATGAGACTGAGAAAATTTATATTATTTGATAACAGAGTGATGTTAAGAACACTTATCAAAGCAGGTATATAGTATTTAAGTGCATCGTTTATAGTTCTTCCCTATATAAATGGGGAAACCGAGTTGTAGGATGTTGCAGCTGTAAGACTTTCTCTACCTAAAGAGGTCATGTTCTGCAGAACTGAAATTTCTGGAGTCTAACCAGACTTCTTTTCCGGATCAGACTCATGTTAGTGTCATGTCTGTACCAGAAAATATATCCACACCGACTTCTGGAATCCCACCAAAAGAACCAAGCGGGCTACGCAGCGGTTCGTGCACACCACGCACATCTCGCAGCAGCTCACTTCACTCGAGTGCAGTGCAACAGTGTGTTACCTTTATGTGGCTGGCCAAGTCAGCGTGCAGCGAGTGCCTGTCATAGTCTTGCACAGTCCAGGAAGGGGTCTTTTTCTTCTCCTCCCAGTCGTCATCCACCTGGATATCGCTATACAAGGGGTTGCTTTTGATTGTGGATTTCAGGGTGATGGGTGTAATGTGTTTCCCAAGGGCTTTGTCTATCATTTCTTGACTGACCCTGTTAGAGTCTAAGCCCGGCAGCTCAGTGACATTTCTCTTTTCTCTCTGTAAGGCACCAAGTTAGATCAGAAGTTGGCTTTCATCTTCATTTACCTACGATGCAGGCCACCTTCCAGAATTGTCATTTGTAATATAACAGAATAATTTTTAAAATTGCACATGCAACAATTTTTCTTATTCTGGCAAATACCTACAGTGCAGTAAGGGAGCCTGACTGTTCACTCTGGGTAGATTTCTTCCTTCTGGGGAAAGCACGTGGGTACAATCTGAACATTAAACTCTTCTGCAAATGTGAACTGACATTATAATGCCTGCTGAAAGCAAGCCTCTGCTTTAGCAAAACCGTGCTAAGGAGCACTGAGGTAGAAGATGCAGTTCTGATGAAAGCCAAGGGTGTATGATGCAGCAGCAGAGCTGTAAAGACAAAGCAGAATGAAGCACAGGGGTAATGGTGTGTAAGTGGCTGCCTTGACTGGAGCTGCACCTCTGACAGCAGGGGTGTGATCAGCAGTTCTGTTCATGCTGTCGAATCCTAGACCAGTGTCAGGATGTCAAAGAGGTCCTTCATTCAAATGAGGGAGAGTCCTTAATTCGGGCACTGTCAAAACTCAAAGATAATTGAATATCTGAGCAGTCTCCCAGCCACAACAATCATTAAATCAGACCTTTTAGAACAGGAGAGTGGCAAGGGAGGAGGATGAACAACCCTCATGGGATCACATGTTTGGACAACTCACAAGCTGCTGCTTAATGGAGCACTAAGATCTTCTTCAGGAGCTGGTGAGATGGCAGTTATCATATTTTTTGATCTATAGTTGCATGGAGGAATACTATCAGATTCTCCAATTCAAGCCATTCAACATTTTGGTTCACCACAACCTTGTATCCCCGAGACTTTGAATTAATCTGCCACTGATCTGCAGTTCCAGCGGTGTGCCAGCTTCCCAAGAGACCTGCTTCTGGCAGAGCCCTTGCCTTACACTAACACCCCTCCCGTGTTTCAGGACTGCTCCTACAGAACCATCACAGTACGAATTCAGCTTTCCTCACTAGCAAACCCCACTTCCCTGTTAGCACCTTTGTCCTTGGAAACTTTATGTTGAGACAAGGGGAGCCTTGGCCTGGACCGGTGGCCCTGCAGCAGGTGTGCTGGGAGGGGGGCACACCCCAGCCCTCTCCCACCCTCAGAAATCATGAAGGTGTGGGCAGCACCCTCTGCCAGACTCCCATTAAAGTGAGTGCACATCACAAACAGTCGATGAAGAGGCTGAGATCTGAGAAACTTCATTCTATGAGAGGATGTCTTTCCCAGGATATTTCACTTATATTGAGATCTCCAGCTGTTACGGTGCCATGGGCTGCATGGTCTTCAGCAACCGAAGGCCTCACTGCTGCTAGGGACGTGTGCTGCTTCTACTTCCACCTTTCTAATGGGAGCCCAGGGGATCCCACCTCCTCCCGCATAGTGGCTCCTGGAGCTGCTCGAATATCACATCAGCCAGTGCAGGTCCCTAAGATAATGGCAAACTATTGGCTTCTTCTGCTTCAGTAATCTTCTGCCTCCTTTGTGGGCTGGTGAATCCACTTTCAGTGGAAGCCAGCTGCTATGTGTCATCACCTACTTTATGCCTCAGTGCCTGTGCACATGCATAGACATGTGTGAGTTGGTCTGGGGCAGGCAGGTGTAGAAGGAAGAAAGACGACTGGTTTTCTTCAGAAAGGAAAGGTGGAGAAGAGAAAACAACAGCCTTTGTCTAAGAAACCCTAGGAGGAAGCATCATGCTGGCATTCTTATCACTAAATCATGCACAAGTGACTAAGCATGTTTCCCATCAATAATTAACATTAGTAGGTGGGTGGATCCTCAGTGCTCTCCCAGTCCCTTTATTAGTTCATAATTTCCGTATGTCATTCCTTAGCTGTAACATATCCCCTGACAACATTACTCTTTGCATTGCAGTTACAGCTGACACTGAGGGCCTCTGGGTTGCGCTGGCCAGATTTCAGCTGAGCTGGTGTTTTTAACTGTCGTTTCTTTCTGACTGCATTTTATTTTATTTTATTTTATTTTAATT